GGTTGCTCTTGCAAAAGACCCATGTTAAAATCCCAGCATCCACACAGCAGTTAGAAACTGTCTGTAACTCCAGCTCCAAGGGATCCAAGACCCTCTTCTGTACTCCTCGGGCATTGCATGACACGGGTGCACTTACATATATGCAAGAATAACACTCATATACATAAAATAAAAATAAATAAAAAAATACCTTACATATCTACCAATATGTATAGACTAGAATATTTCGTTGATTGCACAGTATTTTGAGTAATGGCAATCTAGAGGAAATTTAATATCAATAATGTAAAATTATCTTTCTCTGGGCTGGAAAGGTGGCTCAGCAGTTTAGAATACTGCTCTTCCAGTAGATCCAGTTTTGATTCCCAGCACCCACATGTGCCTAACAACCATCATAACTCCAATTTGAGGGGATTCATTTCCTCCTTCAGGCCTCTGCAGGCAGTGCACAATATGGGTGCATTTACATCCATGCAAGCAAAACACTCATGCACATAAAATTGAAATAAATAAATAATCTAAAAATATATCTTTCTAGATCTAAAAAGAGCAACCTGTACCTGGATGTTACATAATTTTAGATTATGTTCAACATGAACATAATTATAATATATGAACAAATAAAAATATAAAACAAAGGAAACTGGTTCTTTGGGAAATGGCTAGAGACTACTTGTCGTGAAAATGAGAAAGATCCAACATTCTCCCCTTGGACATTTAAGAAAATGTTGAAAGTGTTTGAGTCATACAAGAGAAAACAAGAACTATGGTATTTATTATCTTTCTTAAACTTGTTTAGTTGATCTTGGCATACATACGTACATATATACTCCTATAATGCTTATAAGTTTTGTTACCCAAAATAGTATTTTTCAGAGACTTGAAGTTAGGCATGGAGACCTGGTGGGAATGAAGTATACATGGCATGAGAGTTGATGAAGTACACGGAACAACAAATGGAATGGAACTAGGTGAATGTAGTGGAATGACACCCAGATTCAAAGGGAGGGAGAATGGTGCACAAGCAGAAGGATCTGACAAGGCGTAGCATGTTTCTGACAGAGGGAATAGGTACACTAATATTAGTAATTCTTTCTATATGAGTCCATGAATTACAGCAAGTAATAACTAATTTTTAATATAATGATTTTATTAATTCTTTGAGAATGTCAATGTATTTTTAATATATTCATCCCCAATTTTCCTCACAACTACTCATAGATAAGTCCACCTCCTTATTTTCCGCAACTTTGTGTCCTCTGTGAGTCTGTGAATGTATCAGTCAAGTCATTTGCAAAATACACTGTTTTGTTCCTTTCCTATCTGAACTCTTGTTCTTAACAGTTTCCACCCACTCTCCTATAATGATCCTGAGCACTATGAGGAGATTTAGAATGTTCCATTTGTGGCTGACCATCCATTTGTGACTAAATTAGAAGACAAATTTACCATGCCACATTAATGAATTTTCTTTGATCAACAGCACTTGGAAAAATGAAACATACAAGTGCATTTCCCCAAGCAAAAGGTGCAAGCAAAAATTCAGTTCTGGAAATACTGTTATTTTGAGTTTTATAAAGGAGATATTATGGAAAGGAAAAATGGCTGAATTTCTTACCTTTTTAATGAGTCAAAGCATATAGATTTTTGATTTAAAAGTAAAGAAACATAGCCAGGTGTGTTGACCTGTGCCTTGTAATCCTATCAACTTCAGAGACTGAGGTAGGAGAGTTGTGGGTTTGAGGCCAGCCTGGGCTACATGATGAAAATAAAGAAATATTTAGTAGTACCAATGGGAGATTCCCAGTATGTTAGAAAATATGATTTTAGCAATTTGTCATAAATTATATTGGCTATTAGAAACAATGTTACGTAGTCATGAAAAAAGTCTACTTACCCATTGGTAAGCCTCTGTCAGCATTAAAAGTCAGATAAGGAAAATTTATCTCCTAATTCCTATAATTCACTGAAATAAGATAAGGAAAAATGTTCGTTAACAAAATTGTATTTATATAGTGAAATTAAGGGCATTATTAGAGCAATTAAATCAATGGTAGTGTATATCAAACTTACACTTTAGAATAAAATATGTATGCTACATTATGAAAGTATTGAACAAGCCAGGCACATTGGATAGTAAGAAGGTAGAGAAAGAGGCAGGGAAGAAGGGAAGAGAAGATAGAAGGAGTGAGATGGAAAAAACAGGAAAAGGAAGAAAATGGAAGATAAGGGAGGACAAGAAACAAATGGAAAGAAGACTGAAAGAGAGACAAAAGTTGAGGGACTAGAAAAGCAGGGAAAGAGAATGGGGGGAAAGAGGGGAAGGAGGAAGGAAGGAGGAAGGAAGGGAGGGAGGGAGGAGGAAGGAGGAAGGAAGGAGGAAGGGAGGAGGGAAGGAGGAAGGAAGAAGGAAGGAGGAAGGAAGGAGGAAGGATGAAGGAAGGAGGAAGGAAGGAGGGAGAGAGGAAGGAGGAAGGGAAGGAGGAATGAAGGAGGAAGGAGGGAAGGAGGTAGGAAGGAAGGAGGAAGGAAGCAGGAGGAAGGAAGGAGGAAGGAAGGGGGAAGGAAGGAAGGAGGAAGGAAGGAGGAAGGGGGAAGGAAGGAGGAAGGAAGGAAGAAGGAAGGAAGGAAGGAAAGATGATGGAAGGAGGAAGGGAGGAATGAAGGAAGGAGGAAGGAAAGAAGGAGGGAGGAAGGAGGAAGGATGGAGGAAGGAAGGAAGGAAGGGGGAAGGAGGAAGGAAGGAAGGAGGAAAGAGGAAGGAAGAGGAAGGAGGAAGGAAGGAGGAAGGAAGGAAGGAGGAAGGAAGGGGAAGGAAAGAAGAGGAAGGAGGGAAGGGGGAAGGAAGGAGGAAGGACAGAGGAAGGGAGGAAGGAGGAAGGGAGAAGGAAGGAAGAAGGAAGGAGGGAGGAAGGAGGGAGGAAGGAGGAAGGACAGAGGAAGGGAGGAAGGAGGAAGGAAGAAGGAAGGAGGGAGGAAGGAGGGAGGAAGGAAGGGAGGGAAGAAGAAAGGAAAGAATAATTTCAAATTAATAAACCCACAGGTTAGCTCAAAATTTATAATTTGTTATCATAGTCTAAACTCCTAAGAAGCTTAATATATGTATTTGGAGATATTCTAGTGAAATTATAATTTTACATAAAATTATTTCATAAAAAATTAACATTGAAGAATTTTTAGGAAACATTTTATTAATGAAGAAATTCTAAATCAGAGGCTTTTCTATGTGCATCCATATATTGTCATAGACTGTCACTTTGAATTGTCTCCCATCCAGTGCTAAGAAGACCCAGCCCTTCTTAGCTTCTTAGATCAGATGATATCAGGTACACTTAGAATGGTATGGCCACAATTGAAATGGTCTCTATACTCCTTTGAGAGCTCATTTTAGGTTTCAGATCTTAAGTATCTGACAAATCAAACTGTTCTCACAGAGTCAGCATATATCTATGTCTGATTGTTTTCCTTCTCCTGTCCTCCTCTTGTCTTGTCTCCCTCTCTCTCCCTCCCTTCCTTCTTTGCAAGCAGGATAAAAGGAATATTTTACTCACTTGCAAAGAGAAAATTTAAAAAATGCAGCAGTACACTTTCAGTATGTTGAATATCCTTAAATAACTAAAGGAAATCTTATTGATACAAAAGCGTAACTCACCTCCAAGGGGATAACCATTTATTCTGGAAACACAGATTCAGGTTCCCCCAAATTCCATGTTCCTGCGTGGTAACAGTTTCATGAAATTTTTATAGTAACAGAACAAAGAAGAGATATGTCTTTCATCAAGATACTTGTCAAATTCACTGGTAGAAAATGTAAGGACAGCAAAGGAGAAATTTCAGCTACAGGATGATGGCATTCTTAGCCTTTTGATTGGTGGGAACTGTTTCTTTTAAGTTAGTACATTCTATTAGTCACAAGATGTTAATTCAGAAACAGAGGTGGGCAAAGAGTGACTATTTTGGGGGCTAAAGATGTCCCCATATAATTTGTGAATAGGCTCTGGATCTGCAACATTCCAAACTCTGCACAGTTATTGAAGTGTTAATCACTGGTCACAAGTTGGTCAGCCTTGCAGGAAGTTCAGCTCAAGATGCAGGATATTCTAGGAACTTTCATGAATGTCTCAAAAGAGAAAGAATAGAAAAAAGAAAAAAAGAAACCCTAACGATCAAAGATTGCATAATGAAGAAGAAAGAACTAGATTCAACTTCAAGAAGTATTTGACGTCATTGAAAAAGTATCTGACTTATTTGCCTATATCTAAGTATAGAATTTGAGATGAATTAATTAATATGATCTCACAAACTACAAAAATATGTAATCACTCTTTGTTAAATTTCTGATAGAATTTGATAAAACTGGAACTAAAAGACATCTTGTGACTTTCAACATTAGTGCTTCTCAGATATTTGTGCGCATCTTGCTTCAACTCTTTTTGTCATTAACTTGTACATTTGAGGTCTGGCTTTTAGATGCAAGAGACATTAAATATTGGACACATTTATAATTTGCTCTGTTATATTCAAATAAAACTTTCTCTTTCATGACTTTCTTCACTTACTGTATAAGTTTGGGAAACACCATGTTCTCCCACAGCTTTTCTGTTTTATCAGTGTAGAATTATTTCTAGACATGAACCAAATACTTTGTACTCTAACCATTTTCGTTAGTGACTTACTGTTTTATTTATTCCCCAATACTTCGTCTTTTGGGTTGAGACATTTTCTTTCTTCCAAATATGATTTCTTTTTTATGCCTTATAATCTAGGAAGACATCATTCTGTACAAAGAAGACACACTAACAACAAATGTAAGAAACCCACTTGCTTTTGTTTCCTATAACATTTTTGATGTCTGTTTTTGAGCACTGTTTTCTCTACTTAAAGCAGATCGATACTCTGAAGAATGTATATAAATCTTTGCTCTTCACTCACCATGCTTGATCTTTAAGTATGAAATTCTCTTTTCTTTGAAATCCTTAATAGACCCTTTCCTTTCGCAGGTTCTCCGTATCGAGACAAAATCACCATAGCGATTCTTCAGCTGCAGGAGGAAGGCAAGCTGCACATGATGAAGGAGAAGTGGTGGCGGGGCAACGGCTGCCCGGAGGAGGAGAGCAAAGAAGCCAGTGCTCTGGGGGTTCAGAATATTGGAGGCATCTTCATCGTCCTGGCAGCAGGCTTGGTGCTCTCAGTTTTTGTGGCAGTGGGAGAGTTTTTATACAAATCCAAAAAAAACGCGCAGCTGGAAAAGGTAAATGTCACATTTCTGCAATTTAAAACACTTTTTTTTCTTATGATTAAGCGCAAATGAATTGTTTCTGATCTTTCTGATAATTAGAAATGCTTAGAGCTATGGCTGTCAGTTATCAAGTCAGTTATCATTCTATAACTAAAGTATTTTGTGATACATATATTTCTCAAAAATCTCATGGTCATCATCATAATTTTTGTTTCATGGTAACATATTTAATTGTAGTCAGTTTCAGGACAAATGGCCATCTCTTTCTTACAAAGAACTGAACAAGCAAATAACAAAGGTTTCAAAATGTTTAATAATTCCAAGCTAGAGAGTAAGTGAAATTTTTACTTAATACAATTATTCTCATTAACTTTCAATAAAAAGTCTTAGCTTGCATTATGGAAACTATTATCAATTTTCTACATTAACAAATATATTATGTTTAGCCACTGTATATTTTTCCTAATGAGTGATATAATTTCTCTCTTGAAAGTCTTTATAATATATACATAATCTCAAAAGTGCTGATACAATTTTTCTTTGTATACTAATACAGTCACTTGCATAAATGCTTTTGTAATCTATCTCAAAAAGTTTGTGAATGCTTATATACTATATTTCTAGTTCTACAATTTCCTCATTTCTATAAATATTAGGAAGAAAATAAAAAATCATTCAGATACTGCATGTCATCTTTTGTGTGTAAATTTGTAAGTCTAGATATGAAATAACTTACATTTTATAGTCTTTAAATGCTTTATTTAATTTGTTTGTATTATAAGCATTTTTAAAAGTCAACAATTTTATATTTTAGTCAGTACCAGTATAAGAGTAAGGTTCTACTCTCTTAATACTGAAGACGTTTATGGAATTTTATTGTTAAAAATACAGTGAAGAAGTATTGGAAAAAAAATCATACAGTAAAACAAGTAAAATGCAGTCTACTAACATTCTTTGAAATACTTATACCAAAAACCATTTTTAAAAAATGTAGTTGACATGTCAGGCATCATTGGCTCATGTCTTTAATCCCAGCACTCAGGAGACAAAGGCAGGCAGGCAAATCTCTGTAAAACCGAGGTCAACTTGGTCTACAGAATCTATGTAATGAGTTACAAGCCGGCTGAGTCTACAGGAAGACTGTCTCAAAACAAACAAACATATATTCATATATATATATATATGTTTGACAAATATGATTCTTTTGCTTTAATGATTTATTTTATAATTATGACCCATTCTGGAATCAGAAATTTGATACATGCTGTTTAAATTTTTACTTGATTATTGTACTTCACATGTTTGTAGCTATTTTTTATAGATTCTGAAAACCCCATTCCACCTAACATAAGCAAGTATAAATTTTGAAAAATTCAGACATTCACATAATTTACTTCCCCACAACATTAAGAATGACTACTTCTGGTAAAAAGGCTCTGCTTATGTAACTGTTATAAAAGTTCACCTTTTCTATTGTGATCCTTTCTGTGGTGTCAGAATGAATTTTGAAAGTAAATTCAATGGGCTAATAAAAGAAGAACAATCATTAATTCATCAATTGACATTTTAAATAATGTGTAAATAATTGTGATATTTGGTTACTTTAACACTTAGATAAACCCAAAACTTATGAAAGGATATTGTTTTTTTTTTAAGTGAGAATGTCAACTCATCCATATGTAATGATTCTAAGTTTATCTTAATATTAAAATAAAACAAACAAATTGAATGTTGACACTATGTGGTTTTCTATTATTGTATATAGGTGTATTCTTCATTTTATTTACCTAAGTTTGTGTTCCTAATACTATTTTAAAGAAAAATGATTCTTTTGAAATAAATACAAAGGGTATGGTTATTGAATTTTGATAAAAAGTACTTGATTGTTATTATCTCTAAGTGATTTAGTTGAATTTTTCAGGCATCAACCTCAGCTGTCTGTGGCCTTCACATGGCTTTCTAAGGTTCATAAAATGAATTAATGTATATTTTTATACTCAGACAGGTTGACAATATGCTAGGGGAAGTAACTCTGCTGATAATAAATGAACATTTTAAACACACAGGTCAATGCTTTATCAGTCTCCACATAACTTCCATAATGAAACTGAATTTCTCTAACCCTGCACAAAAGGTAATTTAGTACCTAGCCATGTCCACTGCTGCAGTTTCCTGTTAGCCTCTCTTTTCATTACACTTTTCTTTTGAAAACATCAAACAACTCTCTGTTTCTCAGGGTCATACTTTTCATTTTGACTTGAGTGAATCTTGTCATTTTTTTCTATCTTTAAAATTTCACCAGCCATTTTAGGTTAAGCCTTGGCGGCTTGTCAGACACTACATAATTTATTATAATAGAGCAAAAGGTATTTCTCTGTAATATGTGTGACTATGCAGAAATTCACCCTTTATTTACTTTTATCATACATTTTTCAGATCTTCAGCTTAGATTTCATTAACTTTGCATCAAAGTAAACACAAATTTTCTAGTAAATTTGTATTAAAAAACATACCTACAATGAATTGTTCTACATATTGAATATAAACAAGAAGCTATTAGTCACAACCCAGTCCCAAATGCTACCTTTTCAGTCTTTACTTCATATCCCTCTTCTTCATACAACCTACCGTATTTTAGTATTTTTAAGAAAAAGAGCAAATGAGGGACTGGAGAGAAGGCTGAGTGCTTAAGAACACTGATCGTTCTTGCAGAAGACCCAAGTTCGAATCCCAGCACCCACATGGCAGCTAACAACTGTCTGTAACTCCAGTTCCAGGGATCCAACAGTCTCTTCTGTCCTCGCGGGCATTGCGCTACACGGGTGCACTTACCTACATGCAGGCAGTACACACATACACATAAAATAAAAATAAAATAAAATGAGAACTTAGTTAAAAAAGAGCAAATGAAATTTACTTTTATATCTAAATGAGTAATCATAAACAAGATATAGAAAGTCAACTGAAATATGAATTTTGTAAATAAAACATGAATAGGTGACACATTTCTGTATCAAGTATGATCCTTGAGGATGATAAAATAATAATAGCATATTCATTTAAAGACAGAAATAAAGTGTCATTGAGGCACATCTTCTACATGTAAACAAAAATCTCTTGAAAACTGCATCTTTTCTATGTTGCTAATTTATAGTCAAGTACAATAATGTATAATTTCAAAATTATAGAAAGGTCCAGGCATGGTGGCACATCTTTTATCCTCAGTACTTGGAAGTCAGAGACAGGCAGGTCTCTGTGAGTTGAAAATCAGCCAGGCTACAGTGAGACCCTGTCATAGAAAAAAAATAAAAATAAGCTATAAAATGAAAGATGATGAAGCTTGAGTTTGTGGACCTTACATTTTTAAAAATATTTTCTTTATTATTTTTACTTTATGTGTATGAGTGTATTGCCTTCATGTATGTGAGTGCACCCATGTCATGCAATGCCAAGGAGGTCAGAAAAGGGCTTCGATTCCCCTGGAACTGGAGTTAAGGACGGTTCGTAGCTGCCATGTGGGTGCTGGGAATCAAACTCAGGTACTCTGTAAGAACAGTCAGTGCTCTTAACCACTGAGCCATCTCTCCAGCCCCAGTGGACCTTACATTTAAAAAAAAACAAAACAATGAATTGCTTTCTTTTCAGAGAACTATCAAATGGTATAGAGCAAAATTCAAATAACAGGTTTAATTTTGATGCAGATATCAATACATTAAGGATACAATGTATTTCATTTATTCAAACTTTTGATATAAACACATCTTTCTTTTTCTTTTCTGTCGTTCCATTATACAATTTGACCATTTGGCATAATACCAAAAAGGGTTTATTTGGTATTTATCTAAATAATCAAATCTAGATTATTTATCTAAATCAGTAATTAATCTGTATGTTCATTTTATAATTAGCTTTCTACTTAATTTTATAATTAGCTTTGTGTCTTTCTTTTTACTTGACTTTATATTATTTAAGATTCTAGTGAATCCTGAATTTGACTAATTAGTCAATGAAACTTTGGCCTGTTTCACACAATGACCCCTGTGTGTTAGAGCCATGACCCGTCTCTTACAGTGGTCCTTATAGCCGAAGCAAGTTGTCAAACACAGAAATTTGTTATATTAGGTATGAAAACATATTTACAATAGTTTCAATTTTTATAAAATTATTTAAAATGTAGTTGCTCATTAATTCATGCATAAAATTATTTCTTAACTATTTGAATATGCCTTTCCTTATAGGTATTTTTCTGTCTTTGTTTTTCAGCAAGAAAAATATCATATTGTTTGGATATTTGTTCCTTGTTTTATACACAAGAATATTTTATTTAAATGAAAATGAATTTTCCTGTAAACATTGTTTTTATTGTGAAGTTTGTATATAAATAATTGAGTTTACTTGTGGCAATGCTGCATTAATGAAAAACTTCACTCCTGGAGTAGTTTAATCAAGAGTGTGCTTGGTCTTGATCTGAGGTGTTCTGATTTCTTTCTGAACTGTTCTCTCAGAGCTCTGTCTTCTTTCTTCTATTCATACCAAAGGGCTCCTCACATATTTATTGAACAGCATATCAAGCATGGTATGACAAAGGTATGAAAAATCTTTGATAATAGTTTTACAATGAAGAAACTGTTTTCCGACTTTACTGACTCAAAAGAGCTCAGAAAACCTCAGACACATATTATCAACATTTGTCCCCATGTTGCTGGAAACATCTTGGGAGGGGTGTTGTTTGGAATGTCATTGTTGTTTTCGGTGTAATTACTGTCACAACTCATCCACACAATCAGGGGACACAACTGAGTCAGAAATAGGGAACATAGTACAAGATTAAAGCTACATATTTAGTTTACTTGTTAACGTTAATATCAGGATTCCAAATCATTGAACTGGTTGCGTTTTCGTTAGGAGTACATAGCTCTAAATATTCTCAAAACATATGATTAACATTGTTTATAATGTTCTGTAAAAATGATATTTGTAAAGGCTTGACAAGAAAAATATAATGCCAAAAATTTACACTATAATTAATTAAGCATAAACACAGTGAAAATGTCTGAAAATTAAAAAAATATAAGTTGATGTTCAGATTGTAATTGTGAGGTACATGTCCTACCCTGAACATACACGTGTTACAGTTTTTCACCGGGAGGGTTGAAGTACACAGCATCACAGCACCGCCATGCGCCTGCTTTTAGGTGTAGCCCATTTAAGTCATTACTGTTAAAGAACACCGGTGCATCTTAACAAAGAAGTCTCTGAGTGACGTATCTTTCAGGAACTCAAATCAAAACTGTGTGAGTACTGCAATGATTTTTGTTTATATTTTAATTATAATTACAGAAGATAACTTTAAATCCAAGGAGTAGATGCGCAAGTAAATTAAATTGTTTAGTATCGTTTAATTTTTCAGGACTAGGGATCTTGAGTTTCAAAAGGAAAGCACATTGTCAAGTTGGATGAACTGCATTTCATAGAAACTGGGAAATGGAAACTTGTTCTCACATCCCTTTATATAAATTGCTTTCAGAACTTAGAAGTATTCATTTTAACAGAAGTAATGGTTCTTAAAATAATTCATATTTTAGATAAAGTGTTATAATGCAAACAGTGTTATAAATTATCCATAAAATTTTTATTCAAATATTTACATTTTCCCAGTGATAGATACTGATATACTACAAAATACCTGTACTTTTAATTAAGGTACACTTGATGCAAACAGTTTAACTTCAATTAAATTTTAGAAAGTTAAAGGTTATAGAATGATTTTCAGTGGAAGATTTTTTAGCTGTAAATGTATGGTTCTTTAGAACTTCAGCTAAACTTGTAAATAAAATGTAGATGAAAGGTCCATTTGATATTGTTTGTATGTCACTAAGAGTAGGGTGTCATTCTACATTTCTAATCCATAGGGACTAATGGATGACTTTTACAAATGTCTTTGTCTTTAAATATCAATTACATGAAACAAGATGCCTGCTTCATGTTCCACATCCATCTTTTAAATCAGTGAACACACTTCCAAGTCATTCATGGATGATAACTCATCTTTTTTTTTTTTTATCAATTCAGGTGATATTTTAAAGCTAAGGCTGTACTTGACAATAATGACTCTGTTAGTTTTATAAGTGACTTCGAAGTTTTTAAATAATGTACCTTTTTTAGGGTACAAAACTACCCCAAGTGTCTTGAAAATACTCTTGGTAGGTAAGAATGACGTGTGCCTCATTGGTCAGTTAGGCTTTCCAAGGTCAGAGATGCCAATTGAATGCTGTTTAATTTAGCTCATACTATTGAAAACTGATTTCGACTATTTAACTGTTTCTTGATTGTTTTCTCCTTGGAGTTGCTATTGAGAACATGTTGATTACAACTTTGAATTAGATAAACAGACTGAGATCTTTGATCATAACTGCTATCTAATTATTTCACATACCAATTAGTATGGATTAGTTTGGGAACTTAAAAAATGTAGGTGTATAACTCAGTTTAGTATAACTAGGTTTAAAACTGCTTAGGCTTTCTTAAAGAAATGAAGAAATAGAAATGAACCTATATTCAAAGTGTTTTAAGAGATAAGATATGAGACCCTGTCATTTCTGATAACATTATGCAGATAAAGATCCTCATGCTAAGTGTGAAGAAGTGTCCTGTGGTCTTACATATAGAAGCTAAATCCTCGATCATATAGGGGCTGAGAATAGACCTGCAATTGCCAGAAGCTGGGAGAATGCGGTAAGGGAGAGGTGTAGGCAGGTTGATCAATAGTATTGAGGTACACTTAGGTAATAGTAAGCAGTTCTGGTGTCTTATTACATAGTAGGATGAATATTGATACCAAATTAGTATGAACAATTTACTATTAAAACAATATTTTAATAAAAAACTATAATTAATAAAAATCCATATCTTTATATAACTGGCATACAAAAGTAAGCTGTCATTTTAATATCAGTGATATTTATGAAGCTGATATATCACCTTAGTCAGAGAGCTCTTCTAAAACTGTGCACGAATTGTATGGTGTCATGACTATCACTCCTGTACTGACTAACATGGTTGTGAGACCTATTTATTGATTTTTCTACTTTAGATAAGGGGCATATAAAAATGTGTAATGATGATTAACTTTTCTCAGTCCCATCGTATTATCAAAATGTAATATGGAAATACTGGGTGAATTTTTCTTTAAGTCAAACTTCTGAGAATACTTTAATATTTGGTAATGTTTATTGTTGTGAAATAATATAAGATAGAGAATAAGGCTTTGTTTTTTAATGCCCCGAGAAAGGGGCATTTATGTGTGTTTGTGTGTGTGTATGCGTGTGTGTGAGAGAGAGAGAGGGAGGGGAGAGAGAGAGAGAGAGAGAGAGAGAGAGAGAGAGCCCATTTCCAATCATTAGCTATTATAGGTGAGCATGAGTAAGCTGTGTTGTCTGGGGATGGGGAATGTGGGGGGGTGCACATCCATACCTTCCCAGGAGCTCCTTCTGTAACAGCGTAAGGACTGTGGGCTTTTTTCCTGCACTTTTACAGAAAATTCAATACGTTAATTTATAATCCAGTATGGAGGGATTACAATTTACTAAGAATAGAATCTAGGGAAAATGCTCAACTAGGAATGTACTAAAAAATGATGTAGGCTAGTATCACAAAGCATTCATAGAATGGAAGTTCTAAAAAGGTTCCTGTCTCTGCTCTGAAACAAGTTATATGTAAACCTTAGAGCCATAATTTAACTTTTTAATTTTAATTTCTTTTTCTCTAAAATTATAGCAAATAAGTATTACTCTCTCTAAAATTCCATATGAAAATTTTCTTTTGACTGTTGAAAGTCTTTCTCAAATGTTCTCACTTTTTCAAAATCATAGCTGTAGCAAAACTGAACATTTAAAGTAAAGTTGCTGTAAGTTTTGAACATGTTTTAACCATTTGTTTATGACCTTTCATGGCTTGACTGTTACCGTCATCTTGCCTTAGATCAATTTATACTTATGGCATATAAGGTATTAGGTATTTGATATCTTTTTAAAGGCTGCCAATTACAGATAGATAAGTCAAAAGGAAAAGTTTATTTTGTTACACTAAATGACATGTATTTTAATATACAATATTTCTGTAAATATTATATATAATGTATATATGTTTTATTTCATTTTAGTTATTTCATCCAGTTATTATTTAATGTTGTATTTTCTGCAATTGATCCTGACAACTTTTGATTTGCCTCCGCTGTATATGACTCACAGTACTTGAGTAAATGAAGTACTGAATTATCTGGAAAGTGTGAATGGATGAATATCCTGTCTATAGTTAGTTAGCAAATACCGTAAGTGAAAAACGCAAACAATGTTTGATTAATGCATACAAGTACAAATTAGAATACTTAGCTTCAGAATCTGACAGAAGACATTTAAAAATATTTCCATAAAGACTCAAATACTTGGTACACAAAAATGGTTGTAAATTTTTCTGAATGGAAACTGGAATATTTAGTTAAATTTTTATACTAAAATTTTAATGAGAAATAGAAATCCACTAACTACCAAAGGTGTCTACACAAATTCTCTTTAGCTATAAAGGGGCAATAACTGTGAAGAACAGAATTTTGACAGACTGCACCTTAACTCAGGATAAAAGTAATATCACAGTGATCGACCAACTAAACCTTTGGACCTGACAGGAGACCAGAGAAGAACAGATAGTCTGCTCATTTGTGTATTTCAGCTTACTTTGCCCTGCACTTTGATCCGTCAAATTTCTCATGGTGTGATAATAACACTTAATCAGAATGTGACTATATCTGGAAACTGGGTATTTAAAGATTATATTTAAAATAAAGGTATTTGGGGTGATTCTTAAACCAATATGACTGATATCTTTGTAACCAGCAAGAAAACAGCATAGAACTGGGGAAAGGGGTAAGAAGGTCCAGTCTTAACTGAGGACCTATCAGCAACTGATCACTACTGGGTGAGGGAGAGTTGGCATTCCTTAAGGGGGTGATACTGGGTAGGTTGACATGGTTCCAATGGATGATCTCACACCCAGGCACATTTCAAGAAAAAGTTGTCTTGAAATATCTTCACATATATGACAGAATGAACAAAATCCAGTTTGAGTATTTAGAGGAGTGGAAAGGGAAGAGGCAGTTCATATGACCAAGATATATTGTAAGAAATGCACAAAAATTCAATGTTTTTAAATTTGTTTTTATTGAATTTCTTGTGTATTTTGTACAGAACATCTCAAACTATCTTAATCATCTTAACACCACTGTCCCCACTGGCACGCTCTCATTGCCCTTCCACGGGGGCCCATACACTCCATCGTCCCTGTTAAGGCCCACTGTGTTGTCAGTATCGCCAGCAGTTCCCCAGTGCAAGTCTAAGGAATAGGACAGCTTCAGCAAGTCACATAATTATACTTTGATAGCAACACATATTTTATGATTATTTCTTGTTCAGGTGGCAGGTAAATTTATTGAACATATGATTAATAAGCTTAAATTTGAAAAATATCAAGCCAATTACTTTTGGTCAGTTGCTGGTTTTTAACAAAAACGTTAAATATGGACCCCTGCTTACAGCTGGACTTCTTATATAAAGACAACTCTGTACTTCTTCAAATGATGTCACTTCATGAATCATGTAAATATCACCAATAAGTTAGAAATTTAAACTATTAAATAAATCTAATTCTATAAAACCCAATAATGATATTTTTAAAGTCATTTATATGCTATGTGTTTCGTTATACTTTAAATACATCATAGGGATTTTCAGAAAGAGCCATGTAAACATTGCCAATTATTTTCATACTCTAAAGATTTCAAGGCCTTATTTGTTTCAAGAGTAAGAGATGTGTACATAACATTTGCTTTATTCAATGTAGTGAATATTATGATGAGTTTGATTTATTTTAATGTAATTAATTATATATGCTAACAGCTCAAAGATTTAAATTTTCATTTTCAGGAATCTTCTATTTGGTTAGTGCCACCATACCATCCAGACACTGTTTAGTAAACTTTTGAAAATTGCTAAAAGAGTTTTTTAATAATGGTTAGTATCCTTGTGACTTTCTTTCCTTTTTGTAGTCTGTTATCTTAATGTGGAGAAACATTTTACCTTTGTTTCACTCTGAGAAACTTCCCTTGCTGAAGGATAGAGCATGTGTGCTTCTACTCCCAATCAGAAGGTGTTTTCTGTCCCTGGCTTCTTCTCCTCCTTTTTCTTTTTCACCCTTTCTCTCTCCCTCTCAGTCTGTTTCCCTCCTTCCTTTCTTTCCTTTTATTCTTCCTTCCTCCTCCTCTTTCTCAATGATGATCTAGGAAACTAATGTTAAGTGCAAATGAGCATTTTAAAGACATTTCAAAGTCAAGAAAATCAATGGTTATCTGAATTAGGAAATCAATGTGTCTCTCTTAAATGATTTGAAGTTAAAGATTTACTTAAATATCATAGTAAGATTTTGGCAGCACAGACTAAAAAGGGTTAGGACTCACACAAAATTCAGTGTGGTTTGGAGTGGCGTAACACAGGTCAAGATGGGGAATTTAGAATCCAGAATTGAGGTAGGGGAAGGGAGGTGGGAGAGATGCAGGGAAAGAAAGACATAAAATATTAAGAAATGAACAAAGATGATTAAAAAATCTTGTTTGTATTTTAAGGTTACAGAGTAGATTGGAAATTGTCTCTAAATGGGGAAAAAAGCTGTTGTCTCACAGTGAGTTCATTAGGAAGCAAAAATAAAACCATGCTTCAGCTAATTTTCCGCTGATGGTCCAAAAATGTACTTGCAAATTTCAGCTTATTTAGAGAGAAAATTTATCAAATTGATATTTTGATGTAACATATTCAAGACCATTTATGAAGTATAAGTTCTTTGACAAAACTTTGCACTTTCTCATACTTTGCAAAATAGATGAAGTATAATTCGGAAAATGAGTGGAATAAGTTTGTAATAGGTTTTTAATGTACAAATAGCATTTGCTAAAGATTACTTAAAATTATGAGATGAAAATAATTTTGTCTTTAATTCCAGTAGCTTCTAAAGTATACTTTAATATTGTAAATTTGATGCTATATATTACTTTATCTATTTTAATATGTATCAGTTTACAGTCTGAAGCAAGAACTAAATGCCAAATATAATCACATTAAAATAAAATGGAATCATTTCCTAGTGAATATTTTATATAATTTTCATGGAAAATCATCCATGTTTTTCCATGGACACAATCTTTGCAGTCTACTCTTTTAGTACAAAAAGTAATGTTTTCATTTTGTTTAGCTTTGAAATTTATGTAATCAAAAAGTTTGAAATTAAGATCACCAAAGGTGTTAAACATTGGTAAATAAAACTATCTTTCAAACAATTTAAATACATTTACAACTTATACCAATTTTAAATGTCAATGGAACAACTTGTAGCCTTTTATATTAACTAATTATGTATTATATTAATTAATTATTATATGAATATTAATTATTCTATTAAATGTTCCAACAGAGAGCCAAGACTATGTTGTTACCTCAAGACAATGTATTCCTCCCCCTTTTGGAGTTAGATTTTTCCATTTCTACCGTGTTGTCATCATCACCATCTTCATCATCATCATCATGTTGTTCATAAATACATCTAATAGAAGGTATTAAGCAATGAGAAACAGTGTGCCTATATATCAGCTGATAGTGCCATATAAATCCTGAAATAAAATGTCATGAATTTCAAAACTGTATAATTTAACACGTAATAAATAATGCCTGACAGTGATTCTGTAGTAGGTGGAGAATTCATGACTAGCATTTAATCGTCATCCATTTCATGTGCTTATAAATTAATATTTTCACCAATTCAAAAATCATTAAAGTGTTGGAGTTTTGCACTGCATTTTGTGGGGCTTCTAAAATGTGGAAAACAAGCTTTAAAGCAATTTCATTAAAAGCACTGTTAAAATTAAAATGCTACAGTAGCATGTAGCTATTGTTAACTTGGTTTTTTAAAGGGTGCTTATGTGTATAAGCAGTGAAAAATGAGATCTCTGTATTTTACAGTTCTGTGAAAAATTGTATGTAGAAAATCTAGAGGCCTGAGAGAAAAGTGTGACAGTGAGGGTGACACATGGAGGGAATAAAAGTAAACGGAATGGAATAGATAGTCAAGCCTGTGGAAAGGGCTCCCTAAATGAAGCTTGAGTTGTACCCTGAAGTAAGGGACAAAGTTGGGTTTACATTAAGATTGAAAGTACTCAGCAGAGTACAGGGCAAGAAGCTAAAGAGAACAGTGACGACAGTGTTTAAGTGGAGAGGGAAGTATGGAGAGAAGGGAAAGAATGAGGGAGGGAGGCAAGGGCACAGGCAAGGGCAAGGGATGAGCAAGAGAAATCATGATAGGAGAAAACAGGAGATACTGATTTGACCTGTTTCTTACAGAAGAAAATGATGCTAAATATTGATGTTAAAGACTTGGATTATCCTAGTAACTATTAACCTTCATCAATTCCACAGACCAGACACAGAATTAGGAAGACCACTATGAAGTCATGTAAAGAACCTATGAAAGTGAACACATGGCCATGGAGTAATAAAAGATGGTAGAGCTGTTTCAAAATCACAAAACCAGTCAGGAAGCTTGACTAGACTGCAGTACATAGGCAATTTCTTTCTAGGTTACTTTACTCTGACCCATTGTGCTCTAAATAATTTGTAATGCTGTTCTGAGTGTCACAAAGGTTATATATACATAATATTTTTAAAACATCAAGCACATGTGCTATGAATCTTTAGTCCTGTAATTTCTTGGAATCAGCCTAAGACAAAAAGCAACAAAGTAGCCACAGTTAACTAAAAAATATATCTCCATATGCATATATTATGATAAGGTTTATATCACCATGTTTCATACCACTTAGAGTGTGTGAATTTTTCATGTGTGTCCATGTTTGGTTGCTGTCTACAGTTTTGGGTCTTGTACAGGAGATCCTCACTTCAGTCTTAGTATAGCTGAGCCTCAACTGTAATACGCAGTTCGTTCATGGATTTGACTTATGTGTAACTAACACATATGTACCCCAATCAAGTGAGGAGAGAGTAAAATGAAGCTTTATTTTGCAAATCTGATTTTGTAATATGAACTTTCTGGAGCTGTACTTATGATCCCAGATAGATTTGTGGAAAATTTATTGTCAATAAGATGAGAATTTAGAAAAATCATAGACTCATCATTTTCTCATGGGTAAGTTATGTTCAGCTCTCAGTTAAGAAGACATTGATGAATTACAGATAACATTTGTGCAGGCATTTAACAGTACAGTTTGCCACTTCATGGTTGAATCATATTTGGTTCTAATCACTGTCAATGTATTATAGGTATAATAAGAAAATACATAATTAAGTAACAAATTATTTTCATGTTTTTATGTCTTTGAGAGTACTACTTTTGCTGTTTTGAGACATACAATGGAGATTTTTCTAGAGAAAATTTCCATATCTACTCCTGTGACCTGAAAAGTATATTTGTTCAAATTACATAGCTAACAATATTAAATATCTGGTGGCTATTGCTTGTTTGTTTAAACTTTAAGGTAAATTTCTATCTAAAGCTAATTAATATTAAAGATTAGCATCAAAATCCTTATTAAATATACTTAAATCATAAAAATCATGATTAGAGTGTTCACTAACAGAAAACATATTTCTAAACTAGCCCAATCGCAGGCATATTTTCATTATTATGTGAAATTTAACCTGTATTAAAATGTAGGATTTCTTTATAATCATTATCACAATATACTCTGAATTTTCAAGTCTGCCATGGTAGCAAGTCTGTTGAGGTTGATTACTAAGTCCCCTCTTACCTGTTTTGTAACACTCAGTGTCTCTGTGTCCTTCTATAGAGGTCCTTCTGTAGTGCCATGGTGGAAGAACTGAGGATGTCCCTGAAGTGCCAGCGACGGCTAAAACACAAGCCACAGGCCCCAGTAATTGTGAAAACTGAAGAAGTTATCAACATGCACACATTTAATGACAGACGGTTGCCAGGTAAAGAAACCATGGCATGAAGCTGGGAGCCCGATCACCCAAGCACAAACTGTCGTCTTTTTTTCCAAACAATTTAGCGAGAATGTTTCCTGTGGAAATATGCAACCTGTGCAAAATAAAATGAGTTACCTCATGCCGCTGTGTCTATGAACTAGAGACTCTGTGATCTAAGCAGTTACAGTAATCAGACTTGATTTACAAGCATCATGGATCAACCAAGTTACACTGTTTATCATGGGTTCCCTTCTTCTGAGTGAATGTTACATGCAAATTTTGTGGCTGGTTTCAAATGCAGTCCAATAAGAAATTACAGGTTCCTTCTGAAGCCCAATTATTGCCAGGAGATGGACTACCACTCTCCACAGGGTAACCAATAAAAATGTTGGTAAGAATAAACATATGTGGAATCAGAAAAACTGTGGTGTTACAGGAAACTATGTAGTCCTAATCACCCAGATCTAGAGGTGATGATGTTACTAGCCCCCAATACACAGTATAATCATTGTCTGAATGGACAATATGTGTTTATAGGACGTGAAAAATATAATGCAAAACACATCAGAATTCCATAGCAAGTGGAATGTAAAACAGATCACCATCAGTTATTTTTATGTCCCTTTTATTTTCTGATAGTCTGTGTCACAGATTGAGCTAGAAATGGCAGTTTTCAAGGCAGTAATGATTTTTCCTTAAATTTCCCAAGGGAAGAGATTTTACATGCAGCCTTATCAGATCTCAACCTATACCCCCAAAACCCTTTTCCTAACCTCATAACATAAATAAAAAAAGCTGGTTCAGTGATCCTGACTTAAAGGATGATGTTTTGAAGTCTTTGTCTTATGTTGTAAAACAGGGCTCAGTATTGGTGGTTATATGGAAGACTGAAGCTTTCATTCTGACGTTCTATGTCAATCGAAACTTATGTACCTGCCATAAACAAACTTGATGGAGCCTGGGCAGATATTGGTGATGAGAAAATGAGGGCTTGTCACCTACAGAAAACTATGTGAGAAAACTTTGAGGTGGACTGCATTTATCAATAGTCACAATGTGGTGGACTGAATTTATCAATAGTCACAATGTTAAATGAACAAAATTCTTGAGCAGTTTTTTTTTTCAAAAAAATGTTCAGGTTTATTTGTGGAAATGCAAGATTTCTATGAAAATAGTTTTTGTATGGAAATTTTTGTAATACTTTTTATCAACAAAATTAGAACATGTGTTCCTGTCAGGGGTGTGATGTCAAGCATGAATGGTAGTGCGTGTGCACCACCAACGTTTGGTGAAAACTATTTTTATCAAGAAAAAGGACTCATAGAAGAGAAATATTTTCAAGTTAGTTAATATAAAAGCTAGGTGCACTACCACCACTGCTTACCATGCCACACCCCTGGTTTCCACAAGGCAGATGACATACTGTAATGAACAATTGTGTGTAAAATGATAAAAGACACAGACCTATTGACAACATTGTGAAAACAGTTGAGTGCACACAGTTTGCTGTTTGAATCCAATGCACAAAATTTAAAAAAGAAAACCATTAAAATTATGTCCATTTTACTCTCAGCTTTGACTTTCATTTTTCTCTTGCATGTATAAAAAAAAAATGCAACATTTTATTTGCACAGGAAATACACATCATGAATTCCAAGGCCATCAAGTTTAGCCACTTCCCAACCTCCCGAAAAAGAAAGAACAGCTTGGAGAAGCTGCTACTCAAACTGAAAAAAAGTTAGACTGGAACACACACACACACACACACACACACACAAACACTCTTACACAGACACATAGAGGCTATTTTTAGACTGAGGGTAGTTAAAATGAGAAAAACCATAGTTCTAGAGAAGATGGTCATTGTCTTATCTCATCTTATTGGAAACTGACTGTATTCATTGTCCTGTGAGGTTGTAAAATGACCACAGATCACATCCAATTTTCCTTGCACATTGATGATTCAGCATAGTTTGTGGAAGGGAAGAGAGACAGGTTCAATAATAATACTTAGTAATAATTTTTTAGATGTTAACACATTAGTAGAAAGTTTAAGACATAAATTATAACCTATATTTTTATATTTTGAAAACCAAATCTGTAAGATTTTATTAACTTTATTGATTAATTAACTTTGACTAGTCAGGAAATTATAATCATTCTCTGACAGAAAATAATTGGGAAAAATTTCTATGAAATATTTATTGAAATTCTCAAATTTTGCATAATAAAATTAACAAAATTTAATTAAAAATTATTCATACAAGTGCTTTAAATTTTTCTGTGTCATGATTATTGTCGTATTCATTAATAATTTTATCTAAGATACAATTTTAGAGTGACATATATCATTGGTAAGAATTTCAGCATTGAACTGTCTAGTGGTAAACAAGCTCAAATAACATAAATGATACAAAACATTTAAAGTTTGAAAAATGTTTATTTTTTTGAAGCAGGGTCTCCCTGTAGCCTCAGCTGGCCAGGAACTTGCTTTGTAGACCAGACTGACCTTGATCTCACAGAGATTTCATCTGCCTCTGCCTTGCACATGTTGGGACTAAAGGTGTGCCTCGCCTGTTCCAAAAGATGTTAATTTTTAAAGTAAAAATGCTTCAGTCTTTAATACTGTAGGGAAATTCCACAAAAGTATAGAATCTGACATATATAGACGTTAGATATTCAATGAGAAACGGAGCCAAAAATGACCATTTAAAGTAATCCATTGTGGTGGTTGATTAAAAATGTCTCCCATAGGTTCCAAATTTTGTACATTTTGTCCCCAGTTGGTAGTGCTGTTTCAGGAGGTCTTTGAAGGTGTGGCCATGCTGGAGGAAGTGCCTCACTGGGTGCCAAGCTTAGAGATCTTGAGTCCTTCCTATGCTTCCTGTGCCTGCTTAAAGATGTGAGAGCTTAGCTGCTGCTCCAGCGACCACTGCCGCCATGCCTCCCCACCATGATGGACTTTTGCCCCTTTGGAACTGTAGCTAAATAAACTCTTCCTTCTATAAGTTCCCTTGGTTATGGTGTTTCTGTCACAGCAACATAAAGTTACTAATATACCCATTAAAAGAAAGATCTTACACTATGTATTTCTTAAATATTTTTAAAGAAATAATTTTAAGAGGACGGAGAGATGGACCAGCAGTTGAGTGCATTGACTTTTCTTGCAGAGAACGGGGTTCTATTCCCAGCACCCACATGGTAACCTAACAACTTTCTGTAACTCCAGTTCCAGGGGACTCTGAAGTCCTTTTCTGACCTCAGGAGGCATTGTATGAAAAGGGTACATTTAGACACATGTAGGCAATATACTCATACACCAAAAAAAAAAAAAAAAAGAAATATAAAATTTTCGGAAAAGAAATAATTTTTACAATTTTACCAACTTCAAATATGTGAATATTCTTAATTTTTGTATTGAAAAATTTTTAATTTTATTTAAAAGCACTTTATAATTTAAATTTATCATTATATTAAATAATCTTAAGCAATATTTAACTTCATCTTTAAGTAGTCAGAAATAATGACTTAGGGTTCCAGAAAAAAACTGATAATGATTTTATTGAAGCATTAAATAAATGAATTTTGAAATATGTAACAAAATTTCTTCATTTTAGCTTTATAGATAATATGGAATAGTTATAACATAATTTTGTTTAATCCAATTCCTGAAGCAAAAATCATGTGTAGCTACTCTGTTCAAATACAGTGGAGAGAGAATAGGACTTTTTTCTTATAGTAGAAAAGAATATTTTATTACTAATGTTTTCTTCTTATCAAATATGTTTTTCTAACTATGTGTATGAGAAGAATACATTTGCTGTTCAAATGAATATTGCTTCCATAGAAGCATTGCACTAAAATGGAACCCAACGGCTTTTCTGAAACAAGAAATATTTCTATTTTATTATCTATCAAATAATGCTAAATTTGGAAGCCACTGTGACATAGATTCTAAGGGTTTAGATATACTTCAAAACACTCCAATTTTGATTTTTTGAAACACAAGGAACATATGTCACAATGTAGATAAGGAATATATACTTAGCTAGCCACTGTGGAATGTAAGGTTATAAAAATTCTAATTAATGTGTTTCCTTATACTTTAGCTTTTTGCTAGTAGAGCACATCCCATAAAATACTGATTCCACCAGACAGAAACGAGTTATATAGCACCTACCTGTAATGGAGGCTGGGAATATAGACATTAGTTCAAGCAGTGATATGCTACTTAGACTGGAGACTGTTCTATAGCTACTATGAAGACCCTTCAATGATTAATTAAACCTCTGAAATATTAATGCTTTCTATTATATTGCTTAGCTCTTCCCTAACAGAAACTTGAATTTTCCCTTATGGCTGCTGTGAAACTTAACATGAGAGCAAATAACTTGACAATTCCTTTGCCCTTCTGAGTATCTTTCATTGACGTTTTACAAATATCTACCTTATACATTATTCTTGCTTCCAAGACATTCTTTTCCATTCTTTGACAACCTAGACACCGTGATGAGTTAACACTTGCCGAACCCATTAATGGACTATGTACTTATTAGTCTCTATTAAAAATTCCAGCATGGATTAAAGAGGGACTCCTAAGGTCCCACCCCAGCCATGGAGCTATTGTTGCTTTATGGCTGCTCTGGAAGGGAGAGTTCATTATCTTTGGGGATGTGGTCACTGGTACCATGCCTCAGTGAATAATGCCACAGTCAAACAAATATGGACTCAGTGTGTTATAAAATTTAAAATTAAAAAGAAGAAATAGACATGAAATTGGGAGGAAGATATACTGTTGAGATTCTGGGGGAGTTGATGAAATAATGGAGGATGGATATGATCAAGGTACATTGAACACATGTATGAAATATATAAAGAATTCTAAAATTGAAATAAGTTACTATTCAGTATAAACTACATTTTGTTGTTGATACTGTCTACATATGGATGGTTGAAAAGAAACTCGTTGCTTGCTCTCATGGGTTCAGAGGAGACTGACACCAAAATATGTAAATACAAACTGAAAAGTGCTCCCTTTGAGTACACTCTGTTGAATGATAATATGTCCCTTCCTATAGTCAAGCAGGTCAATTTGATAGTCGGAAATATTAAAAAAGGACAAATACATAAAGGATACATGAAGTATTGATTCAAGAGAAGACATTCTGGTCAACTTTTGTTGATGTTAAACAATGGCTTGGTTGTATTCTTTCAGGTAGAAAGACATAATTTATCATGTTAGTACATTACTGACATCTTATCTTGGCAATCCCTCAATATGTGCAAATGGGAAAATTGACTTTGAACACTGAAGATATTTTTATTGAACAAGAGTGAAACAAAATTAAGTCAAGATTTACAAGAACTTGATTTTATCTCACAGGTAATGAAAAGTCAAACTAGTGCTCTCTGAGAGTTCCTACTAAACCTGCTGACTTGTGGTAGGTTTCTTTTCAAATCAGGTTCCCGTAAGCTACAAATCACAGTGCCAGAGGTAATCTTTGTGATTTGATCTTCATCCATAGAGCCATGGGAAACTGTTTAAAATTTGTTAGTGAAAGATTGTTGTATAAGATTTACATTTTGTGAAGACAATTGTGGTTACAATTTGAAGAATGGCTCAGTACGCATCAGAGTGGATGAGATTGGTTAGGATGTTATATCAGTCACTGAAGGGTCCAGGTAAGATTTGCTTGCTTAGAAACAACTCCTAGCCTAGCACTTCCATAAAGAGATAAGTTTAAATAGTATTTACTAGACAAAAATTTATGGTGAATTGTAAAATGAATATAAAAATTGTAAAAAAATTTGAATAAGGGATGAAGCGATGACTCCACAGTTAAGAGTTCCAGCTGCTTGTCCCCAGCACACACAGGGCAGCTACCAACCATCTGTAAGTTTGTGACTCCAGGCCCAGGGCTTCTGATGCCCTCTTTTGACCTTTGTGTGTGTTGCATGCATGTGTGCACAACATGCCATCAAAATAATCATCACACATAAAAATAAATATAAATTGAAAATGAAATTGTTGTGTCATAACCTTTAATGGAGTGTTTAATATAAAAGCCAGATGATATAAAGAGGCATGACATACATTTGAGGAACTGAGAGCTACTACTGATTTATAACTCATGCCGTAAGTCTTAATTACCTCCTCCAATTCTCCCATTAGCCCTGAGTGGCAAGAACTAAAATGATCATCATTTTAAAAACAAAGAAACTACTGACAAAACAATGTAAATACATATTTTATGTTCTTTAAAAATACATTTTGTTTATATATTTTTATGTGTATGAGTGTTGTAGCTGCACATATGTAAGTGTACTCGTGTTGTGCAATACCCCCGAAGGCCAGAGGGATGCACCACTATGTGGGTGCTGGAAACTGAACTCAGTTCCTCTGAAAGAGTAGCCAGTGTTCTTCACGACTGTACCATCTCTCCAGCCCCATATTCTGACATTCTTAACAGGTGTCAAACTTAGACTGAATTGCTCCGGTATTATCAACCACTATATTTGATCATAGTATTTAACATTGCCATAATAATGATATGAAAATGAAGATT